CACAAACATGACAAAAATTTCGGAAAGACTAATACACTTACAGACAAAATGGACAAACAACCCCCACAACTGGACCATACTGAATCCCCTTTGATAATTATTTTTTTGTCAAAATGCCATAATGACGATCTGTTTGCAAAGTACGATCATGGTGAAGAATCACTTAGCGAATTGTAAAATTTAAAACTAAAAAACTTAGTCATTAATGGCCTTTTCTAAAATTGTTTAAATATTCTTCAATTTAAATTGAATTTTAAAACCTTGGTACAATCGCCATCGAAGCATCAGTAACACTGCTAATATATTTTCATTTACAAATTGGTTTTTCCTACTACTACAAACTAAGAATCTTCTCTAGTTATTGATCCTTCAATATGTTCTAATGAAGTGATCGCCATCAATTTATGATAAAGAATAACAATCCTACAATTTGAGGCCAACTACCCAAATAAACCAACGTTTAACGAACGAAATTAACGTTAGTTGATAAGGAACCGACAAACTAAAAAAATACAGAAATGGGACAAATATTAGAAAGAGGGTAGTTGCTTGTGTGCTGACAATAATCTCCCACACGAGTTTCCACCCCATCAACAAGAAATGGCCTAAGTAATGAAACCTTCACACAAACAATCGATTTCTTGGAACTGACCGTGATCTTGCCTCCATCCTACGTCATAATATTTTGCGATTTCGTCACACAAGGTTTACTCATCGTGTAATGACATTCCAGGTGAAACGTGAAAAGCATGTTCATCGACCAAACGAAAACTGGGGGCGGCCTCGCGTCAAGACGACCTTCTCGATCCGCCCTAATTATTCGACGTCCGGGTTTGCCATAGGAATCGATCAAAGTTCAAACATTAAGCCAACTCCAAGAAATTCGACTCATAAAATTTCAATGAGTGGTGAAACATTTTTAAGTTGGTAAGTGGAAGAGGATCAGATTATTATTAATCCAGAGTAATCCTGGTCTTTCACCACTTGAATAAGTCAGATAATTGCCCCTTTAAAATTCATTAAAAATTAAGTGAGATTTCCGGTGTCAAAGTAAACCTTATTTTTCACAAACTGAAACTATAGAAAGTGAAAAGTAAAAAATTGACACACTTTAAACTTCAACCGCATTACCATCAGCCCTATAAAATAATAACCTAAACGAAGCCAGATATTGAAACTGAATACGGATCCTTTTCGATTTTGAAAACTAAAAACTGGATTCACTTTTTTCACTTTCAAAACAATTTCGCCAACAGTGATTTGCTGAATAAAAGTTGGTTGTACCACGACACTTAAAGACATTCAAAGAAATCAAGTAAAGATCATGTCTTGACTGACTAGATAAATGTAAAAACTTGTCACAAGAGAAGAAGTGCAAAAAAACTAAAAAGAAAGGAAAACATCCACATTTTTTTAAAATTATTATGGGTGCTATTTTCCATTCTTATACCTAATGAAACAAAGTCTGATCTTCATCCAAAAAAATTGTGCAGATTATTGAAAACTATATTTTAGTTAAAAACCTTATTATAATAATTTTAACTGAATCTTTTCTGCTAATTCCGTCTAAAACAAGGAGCAAT